TGGCAGTGGCCGGTTCCGCATATTTTATAATTCCAGACAAGACAGTGCTGGCTACGGCAAGGAAGAACTCAATCAAGGGTCACACTAACATAGAAGCTAACTTTTATGTCAGAATTCCAGACATGAATCGGCTCCTGGAGTCTCTTTGTTTTTCTCTCCTACCCTTTTGTCTGGAGTAGGGCCCCTTCCATTGTATGCATGCCCGAGGTCATCCATGTAAATGTCTGATTATAAATAAGGAAATTGGGTTCCAAATAACGACCGAATAGCGTTTCAGAATTTCGCAATTTCCTGGTTTCAGATGGTATCATCGCATGGGAATTTTATCAGATAATAAATAATGATTTTTTATTTATATAGAATGATAGAAGGGTAGAGTAATTTTCCAGAGTAATGCAGAAGGGTAGACATGAGAGATGGGTAATTTCTTATAAAGGAAGTAGAGCTCAGGCCGAAATTAGTTTAGCGGTGGGTATGATGATTTGGATAGATGGCACATGGTAAGTTGAGATTCTGCAAAACAAATGCCACAATTTAAGGGAACCTTTCTAGGGTCTAGGCTGGATCTGTTTGGGTCACAGTCGGAATTGAATCGAAATCCATCTGAATTAGAATTAGAATTGGAATGGTTTAATTCTATAATCTATGGATTTTTGTTCATGGAATGACCCATTTCGATTCCAGACCCCTATTAAAATAGATATTTCCTATCATTTGAGAAATTAAGGGGTTGTTTGGAAAACGGATTTCATTATTAATCATCTCGGACAATATTAATTCCAAATTTATTTATACACAAAACCAAAACCACAGCAGCAACATCTTTACGAAATATGGTTTTTGAGAAAGAAGAAATGATAAGAGAGATTTGCCAATTCCACTTTCTGGTCTTACCCTCCCAACCGATTTGGTAATTCATTTTTTAGGCTGATTGATTCCTCGAAAGTGGAGGAAATGGTCACTCAATATTTTCGTGTATGGGGTGATTTTCAAATCCAAGGGAGATAACCCAAGGGATTTGGTCGGAAGAATTGCTCTGCCAATTCTGTGTTATAAATTAACATGCTCTGATTCACGAATGCACGACATATGTAGGGTTGCAAATGGACTGATGGAATGAGACCCAAATTTGATCTGTTAATATTTGGATTATAATCAAATCTCATTTATATCAGATTTAGATCAGGATTTGGATTTGGATCAGTTTCGATATTAAATATCATTAATAAATTAATATAAAATGATAAAAATATTAACCATTAATAGTAGTTATTAACCATGTTTGTCTCGTTTCTACATATTGAATATTGATAAGACAAATTTTGGATCCCAACAACATATGTAAATATTACCACCTTTCTCCTACCTGACCGGTAAAAAAATTCCCATACTAGCCGGGGGGCCCTGTGTTGCCATTCATTCTTCCCATCTGAACTACCTATGAGGCCAAGAAAGGATACTTTATCAGCCAACTCGAGGGGGAAAACTTCTGAGCAACAAATAGGTTTGGAGAACTCAGATGGTGGAAGGAGCACGTAAATTGACAAGCCCCGAGAGGATTCTACGAGAAATTGTTTCTGAGTCTATTCCTATAATGGCTGAAATACTTCACGAGCTGCGCACCTCATCTTCAAACGGTGGAGTTCAGAGATTAGAAAAGTATAATGAGGTCGAAGGGAGTTTTTTGGTCAATTTTCAAATGGGGGTATTTCAAAAGAAGAAGATAGGGATGTTGTTTGATTTTAGTCTCATGTGGTTTATTGTATCTGAGTTGCGTTTGGGGGGTCTTTGTATCTGAGAGGTCTCTTTGTGCCCCTTTCTGTTGTAGCTGCAAATTTGGTTGTCTGCAAGTTGAAATAATCGAGAGATGTAAAGATTCCTGTGGAAGGTGCCCTTTCCTATTCTTAGAAGCTTCCTTGCGCGCTTTCAGATTGTTTGCACCAAAAGATGGAATCAAACTGAAAACCTTTTCTTGGTTGTGAATCTCTTGGGTTTGCGTTGCCCCTATGCCAATGTAATGAATTTTCAAATTTGTTCTACAAATTCTCATGGTGACGGACTGAACACGCTTGCCCAATAGCTATTCTCTCTGGTTCTGATTTGTTAGTTCTGTTTCAGTTCATATGTTGATGACAGTTAGAATTCATCAGAGGAATGTCAAAACTTCTCAAGTCAACAGTGGCTCCCATTTTAGTTGAGAATAGAAAGCTGAAATGGAAATTTGTATTTCATAGATTAATTTATCCATTACATTAGAGACTCGGATTCGGACCCCACAACTACAGCTTCTATTGTTCTTTTTTTATAGATAAAAGATTCTTTATTGAAAATTCTCAAATTACAATAAATAAATATAAAGAATCTTATATATCTTATCTCCCACCTAGTTTTTGGATCGACCGTTCGGTTCGAATAGACGGCCTCTAACAATAAAATTTACAAGCAAAAAATTATGGAATCATTTTGGCCACCGGTTTTCAGGTTGACGGTTTGACCATTCAGTTCGAACGGACGATCCGTTCTAACAACAAAAATTACAAGCAAAAAACTGAGTGTGTAAGGTCGATTAAATAGTATCATACGTGTTATGTCATTCGAGCATATGACTCATATGACTCGAAAACATAACCGTTCTAGCCACCGGTTTTCGGGTTAACGGTTCGACTTTTTGGTTCAAACGGACAGCCCATTATAACAACAAAAATTAAAAAAATGGCCAAAAACCATTGAACATGTCAACGATGGTTCGACCGTTCGGTTTGAACGGATGGCCGGTTCTGACAACAAAAATTACAAGCAAAAAATTATAGAACCGTTCAGGCAACCGATTTTCGAGTTAACAGTTCGACTGTCCGATTCGAACGGATGGCCCAATCTAACAACAAAAATTACAAGCAAAAAATTAAGTGTGTGAGGTCTAATAAACAGTATCATACGTGTTATGTCATTCGAGCGTGTGACTCATACAACCCGAAAAATGGAACCGTTCTGGCCACCAGTTTTCGGGTCGACGGTTTGACCATCCAGTTTGAACGGACGGCCCGTTCTGACAAAAAAAATTTTTAAAAATAAAGAACAGCCAAAAACCATTGAACGGATCAATGGGTCGATGGTTCGACCACTTGGGTCAATGGGTCGTTGACTCATTCAATGGTTTTTGGCCAGGGACCAAGATTAGGGTAAAATGGAACCGGTTGCCTGGACATTCCTAATTAAAAAAAATAAAAAAAAATGGCAGTTTGATCGTCTGGTTTGAACAAATAAACTGTTCTAACAACAAAAATTACAGGCAAAAAATTGAGTGTGTGATGTCCATTAAGCAGTATCATGTGTGTTATGTCATTCAAGCGTGTGACTCAGATGACCTGAAAATGAAATCGTTCTGGCCACTGGTTTTTGGGTCAATGATTCGACCATCCGGTTTGAACGAACAACCCGTTCTGATAACAAAAATTAAAAAATGGCCTAAACCATTGAAAGGGTCAATGGTTCGACCACCCGGGTCAATAGGTCCTTGACCAATTCAACGGTTTTTTGCCAGGGACCAGGATTGGGATAAAACATAACCAGTTGCCTGGATAGTTCCCAATTAAAAAAATAAAAAACGGCCAAAACCATTGAACGGGTCAACAGGTCGGCGGTTCGACCGCTCGGGTCAATGGGTCATTGACCGATTCAACAGTTTTTGGCCAGGGACTGGGATTGGGGTAAAACGGAACCAGTTGCAGGCCTAGATGGTTCTCAAGCTAAAATGTATGTCCGACCAAGTCAACGGCGATTTCAAAACCATGGTTTTTTATGCTTTTGGATTTTCATGTGGGCTTTATTCGAGAGTGCAGAATTTTCCTTTTTTTTTCATTTTCTGCTTTTTTTTTGTGTGTGTGTATGTGTGTGTGTTTAGTCTTCTTCTTCAAGATCCTCCAAAATGGTTTAGGGTTTACCACCATTTTATTTCTTCCCTTATGTTTTTTCTTTAGGTTTTCTTGTGCAATGTTTTTTTTTTATTATTACAAGACAATCTGCTTTCTCTTTCTTTGATTGCATGTATGTTTAGCTCCGTCTCAAAACAGAACTTTGGACTCGATTTTCTAATGTTTTTCCTTGGTTTTTCTAGTTTGGTGGATTTACCGCCAATTTTTTTCTATGTTTAAGGTCACCTTGGATTTAGCTTTCAAGGTTTTGGAATCCCTTGCAATGTCCACCATTCCCATGACTATGGCTACAAAGTTATTTCGTATAATTATTGACATCTAAAAAAAGCAACCCAAAAACGAAACCGTTCTAGCCACCAGTTTTCAGATTGACGGTTTGACCGTCCAGTTCGAACGTATGGCCCGTTCTGACAACAAAAAATTTAAAAATAAAAAAATAATTAAAAATAAAAAATGGCCAAAACTATTGAACAGGTCGACGATTTGACCGCACGGGTCAACGGGTCATTGACTGATTCAACAATTTTTCGCCAAGGACCGAGTTTGGGGTAATCCTACCGTCTAGATCAACTAGGAATTCTTTTATATGAGATGCTTTGTTGAACAATATTTAAAAAACGAATACATGATGATCTCTTTTAAGTCTTTATATAAATTTCAAGACTTAAATAGTTATAATTGCATGTTTTTTATTAAGAAACTATGTATTTTTTAATGTAACAATTTATAATAGTTATTTTTCTTTATCAAATCAACATTGTTGAATTGTTCGGTATTTGGCAGTTGGCACAATCTCCCAAGAAGAACCGAATCCCACACTAATTATGATAATGATGTAATTAATTAAGTGGGACTCTGGAGAAATGATTGATTAAGATTTAAGACACTCCATAACTAACTAACTACCTACGTAACCTGGTCTGAAACTGACTCGATCAGATGATCCCCACCTCCATTGAATGGATCAGATGATCATGAATGATCTGAAATTGACTGGATCAAATGATCCTCAGAGTGCAGCCCATCATATGTAACTGAACATTTAAATGTCTTTCTCGGTCCCTACGAAGAGGTCAACCGGCAGCTATTTTCCACCCAATCTTAGGCTGTATTTTTCAAGTCTGGGAGAGTCGATCCGTGGCCTCCGTGGAGGGAGGTGCAAAAGTGACCCTCACGAACCACAATCTCTCCACCTCCATTGCTCCTACTTTCCCTCCTTCTCTCTCGCTCCTTAGCAAATTTATTTATATTCGGATCACCACATGACCATTTCCAAACTTTGTTTAGAGAGTTTAGACTGCCCCAAGCAACGGTATTCTCTGTCTTCCCCCGATACTCCAACCAACGGAAGATACTACCATTAACCCCACACACAACTCGAAGAACGAAAACCAGTTTTCCTTTTTGTCTCTCTTCTTTTGGTGGGTCTATTTTTTTAGTTATTTGTTCTTTATCTTCTTAGAAGAGCGTGGGTGGGTTTCGTGATCCTGGTTCTTGGGGATTCGTTGACAGAGGTCTTTCTTTTACAAAAGTTCTTTTTTGTGTCTGTGGTAACGGGCTTCTCTCGTTCTTCTTTTCTCACTGCGAGACTTTTCTTGGGCGGCGAGGTTCTTGCTTTAAGTTATTATTTTTTTAAGTATTTTTCTTTTTGGGATTCTGTACCGGTGAGCTGTGTTTTATCGTTTTTGGGTTGGTGGGTCTTGGGGTTTTTCTGTTTGCCTCACTGTTCATGAGCTGTTGATTTCTCTGGTCGTTGGAGCTGCTTCAAGTTCCACGAACATGGGTTTTGATGATGAAAGCAAAGAGGGTAACGAGGAGAAAGGACTCCCAGCCGCAGAAGAAACAACACCTGAAGCTCAAGAGGATGGTAATGAAGCAGGTGATAAGCCCCACAGAGAGATGCGTGAGGCTCCTGCTTATGCAAGTGAGGAAGAAGAAGATGATGAAGGAGCAAAGATAAACTTGGGTCCTCAGCGCTCACTCAAAGAACACTTTGAGAAGGACAAGGTTCGTTCCTGTGGAAAGCCTGCATCTTTTTGTTGTTATCTCTCTTTGAATTCATTTTTCTTGGTTCTCTTTATTGTCAATTTTATTTCACCAATTTATATGTTGTTTTTTTTTTTCATTTTTTCTTCTCTCTGTTTGCTGTCGTATTGTTCAGGAAGACGAGAGCCTGCGGAGGTGGAAGGAACAGCTCCTTGGTGGTGTAGATATGGATTCTGTTGGAGGTACTCATTTTCTTCGTAAAAGGGAAAAAATTGTAGTTGGGCTTGTGATTTTTTTTTTCTTTTACCATTCTTGTTAAAGCCTTCTATTTATCTTTTTTTAATTTTCAATTATTTCCAATATCTTAAGGGGGTATTTGCTTTTTTTTTTAACAATTGTACTCGTATTAGACCATTAGTTCTCTCTCTCTAACATACATACATACATACATACATACATACATGTAAGTGTATTTCTGTTTGTATAATATATGTATGTATTCTGTGTAATTCATATATTCTGCTCCAATTTCTGTTTGTATAAACAAATTTTCATATTTATCATGCAAGAGTGCATTTCTTTCTCTATTTATGGTTCTAGCTAATTTGAATTTTTAAAATTTTTATGTATGTGTTTTATATTTTGGACCAAAGTCATGATCTTCGGGGTTTTGTCTCCCTAATTCATGATTTTTATATATGTATGGTCATTTCGTTCTCCTCTGTTGGTTACAAATTTCTTTCTCTTGCAAGTAGCCATGTTTGATTTCATGTGAGATAACGTGCGTGTATTTGTGCTTTCAATTATGCTTGGTCTCTTGTGTAGTAGAAAGTCTGGAACCAGATGTTAAGATCCTGAGTCTTACAATCCTTTCCCCGGATAGACCTGACCTTGTTCTTCCTATTCCTGAGACTGGAAATCCCAAGGGCTTATGGTTTTCTTTGAAAGAAGGCAGCCATTACAGCCTAAAGTTTTCCTTCAAAGTCAGCAACAACATTGTTTCTGGCCTAAGATACTCAAATACAGTTTGGAAAACTGGTGTCAAGGGTAAGCTCTCTTTTCTCCCATGTATTTTAAACTTCTATACATGCAATTGAAGGATCACATTTTTTTTCTTTCTTATGCCAAATTTCAGTTGACAGCACAAAAGAGATGCTTGGAACGTTTGGTCCTCAGCAAGAGATTTACACACATGAGTTGCCAGAAGAGACCACCCCTTCTGGAATATTTGCTAGAGGATCATATTCAGCAAGAACAAAAGTAAGTTGAAATTAACAACTTCTGTTCCTTGGTTCATGATAGGTATTACTTGTAAACAAGTGTTTCTGTGGATATTCTTTTCAAGGCTAATTTGGGCAGGGAACATTGATAGATTATAGCGAAATGTTTCATGGTGTTGAATCTTTAAATCATGATATCTGAATCATTATGTTTTAAATATCAAACTGATTTCGGCATCTATTGCTTGCATGGTGTTTGTTCATTATGCCTTGTCTGTTTGCAGTGCAATTTCATTTGCACTGGTGCAAAAGTGAGGGGATGCAAAATCTGGTTTTCTTTGGTTTAGGATTTTCTATGTTTTATTTGTTTCCAGTGCAGGTTAACTGAAAAACCTTAAGTAAAATTATATCAGAATCTACAATCTTCTCATCTTCACTTCCATGCATCTGTACTAGTGCAAATGGAATTGCACTGCAAAGAAAAGAAACAGAGCCTTAAATGTTACTTAAATTCAATTGTAAAAATAGTGGCTTTACCATGTGTCCTGTATTTCTGACTGATAGCTTACTACCTTCATTGGCACATTAATATTCCAATACTTCACAATTTTGGTTCACTCATTTCTAGTATTCTTAATGGTTTTTGATTTATGCATTACATAAAGCAAAAGCAGTGCATCAATGACGAGCGGAGCTTGTGCCTTGAATTCTACTGTATATGCTACCTGCTGAATGCTACACCAAACTATTCATGTCCCCCAGACACAAGGTGGATGGGTTATAGTCCCAAACTTAAGGGACTTAATTTTCCAATCTGACGTCCCGGTTTGAAGGATGACAAAATCCTGCTTCCATATTCCCCCATCTGGTATTGCATTTCCCATGGGGATCTGAATCCTCTTTTTCTATAGATACTTTTGTAGAAAATTGTCAGATTATGTATACCGGCATCTATGAGAATACGAGTCCAATTTTCATCAACCTGTACAAATGGCCCATTGACTCATAAATTGAGACCTAGGTCAGTCAGTGGTCAGCCACTCTTTTATAGCTAGGGGTATATTGAAACTTTTTTCCTGATAAACCTTATGTTTTCTCACTACCCAAGCTCTTCAATTTTCAATCTTGATTGTTAGGTTAAGAATTTTTAGTGAGACTAGGCATTGTCATGTCGAACAATAAAGCATGAATTGAACAACTTGATCAATTGATGGACCATATATACAAAATAAGACCTCTAGAAGCATAGCCTGTGAATCCTGTTAGATATGCAATATTTATGCATTAAACATTATTCTCTTTTTCTTTGTGTTTGCTTTTACTCTTCTTCTTGTTGTTCTAATCTGATCCACTTTTCTTTCATTTTCCTTTGTAGTTTGTTGATGATGACAACAAATGCTACTTGGAGATAAATTATACCTTCGACATCAAGAAAGACTGGCCATCAACTTAAAGAGCATTTGTTCATCTCGTGCAGAGATTTGTCCTCACTCAATTACATTCTAATTGAAAATGAGGAAATGGAAAAAAATGAACCAGATATTCCTCTTACTCGTATCTCACTTCCCCTGTCACAATTGTCTGAACAAGATGCATACCTGAAACTGGTGTAAGAACAATGAAGCAGAAGAGGGAAAATAACTCCAGAATTCCATTTGGTGGATTCTTGAATAAGAGAGAGTTTAGGTTGTCAAAGAGATGTTTTTTTTTTTTTCTTTTCTTTCCTGCTTGTCTGGAAACCAGAGCGGGTATAAATCTTCATTTATATGGTATGAGCATTTAACAATTTGTATAGGGATTGTCAGAAATTTGAAGCATTGTAGTTTGTAATTGTATTGTATTCTTTAGCACCGATACGTGTGGCATATGACTAGAATTGTAAAGCTAGTTAGAGCTAGCTGAGACATACTTTCTTTTAATCTCTTTGTTGTGTTCTTTTTCTAAATGCATTTCGTGACTTCTGAATTGTATATTTTTATGTGGGTAGGAATTGATAATCGTATTAGCCTATACTTTGGTAAGTATTAGCTTCTTCTGTAACATCTGTTAGCAAAGAGAAATGGCAGGCTTGTCAATGCCAAAAACCCATCTAATCAAATGAAGTCTTGATTTATTGTAGAAAATACCCTCCCTAGCCCCTGATTTGGTCAGTACTTTGCAAGGGGAGATGATCAGCAAATCCCCATCACTACCAGTCTACTACCAAAACCAAAGTAAAATGGTTTCAAACTTTTAGAAAGGAAATAACAAAAAAGAGAAGCCACCACCACCACCAATATTTATTTGGTGTCAAACTACGGAATCACGTTTTGCCAATTTCCATTCAAAGGGTGTTAGAGGGAGATTTAAAATTTCAAGAATCTATCCTCCCTCCCTTGTATTTTTGAGCTGTCTTTTCATCTTTCCTCCTTTAAATGCATGGGAAGACTCTTTGTTCCATATCGCTTGAGAAAGGAATAGAGGTGAAATATATCTATAGTTTTGCTCTCTCTATGGGTAGGGGACCCATAGATATTCATGGGAAAACTCTCTTGGGAAAGGACTATAGATATTCCCATGCATGTGAGGGGGGTTGGGGATGTTTTACACATGTGCGAGCTGAGCCAGGTCGGGTTGTGGGTGTGGGTGCAATGTTCTGAAGAAACATGTCTCTGAAATGACACTTATGTGTCCATTGACTGAAAACATTCTATAAAAGGAGTATTAGTCAACCCAGAATCACACCAGTGCACTAGACACAATCTTCAACATTCCATCCCAATTCTGAATTCCCAGCTGGTAAGTGCTCTTCTAAAGGAAATTTTTTTCCACCATTCCAGTCCACTCAAGAGTCATTGTTTTGTCAGAACATGAACCTTTGCTTTGAATCCTTCAACGTTCTGGCTTCTCTGAAACCTGAAGGTTGAGACTTGAGATTGAACAGATTTTGTTCCCAGGTCAGTGACCCCAGCTGCAGCTAGCGTCTCTACCTCAACATGGACGTAGAATTGCAGTTTCCTTCTAAGATGCTGCGGTGGGCCCTTCCTAATGCCTTCCTAGTTCCTCCTAGACCAGTCCAATCATCTATTCTCCTTCCTCTACGGCCAAAAGCCTATATATTTTCGCACCAAGTGTCAGATATTGACATCTGATCACGACCCCTGAACTTCCTCTTAACTTCTGATCAAGCTGAGTTATGTGTCATTGAATAGGAAAACTGTTGGATGGGTGTTCACGTCTCTCCTTTTATTTGTATCTTTCACCTTCAGCACTAACTTCTTCATATGGACAATAAGACCTTTGGTATATTAAGGAACCAATAACCCAATCTCTCACTCATCACTAGCTCTGTCGATCAAGTGCTCCAGATAATATAACCATATGCAGCTGTCAGCTTCACCCGTAGGATAAAGAGCCAGCCTTGAAACTATTTCACTGCAACTACTCTAATACTATAAAACAAACCGTGAAAGCAATAAAAGGATGATAAAATTAAATGTCTGCAATGAAGAGGCAAAGAAAGAAAGAAAGAGATGGTCGATTCGGTCATGGAGGAGAAAGCACATTTGTAGTTATGCAAAATCGTGTAATTGAGAAAAAAAAAACACTCAAAACAAGTAAATGGTACAATTTCTTTCCATTTTTTCGAGAAACCACCTACCAATCTACCAATTTGCTGGATGCCTACGATTCTGAATTTGAAATCTGAATTGAAAAAGCACGGTTTATGTTGTATGTTGGATATTGGATCAGACGGTCAGAGATATCTCACTTAACCCCACTTTGAAACCGGATTCAGTCAGTTCAAAGCCCGTTCAAACACCCATTATAAATATCTCCCCATGAAATCAAGTACAGAAGTACGGAAATGTTTCCAATGCAAGGCTGTAAAGGCTGTTTGAACTGGCATTGCATGACTGAAGCCGATCTCCCCAACTTTTGTTTAATATATATGAAAGCCCATTAAGGTGATGATGAGCCCTGGACCTGGAGTAGCCATGCCAGTAAGTCGGGTTTCACTCAAATCGAATTTGAACCTAAAACACAGACACTATGCCAGTAAATTGGGTTGGATTGAACCAATATTTGATCCATTAATTGAAGATAAGAATACAAGTGTCAATGGATCAGGTTTGAACTAGAACCAATCTAAATTAAAACAAATTTGAACAGATTGGACAGTCCAAACATTAAATTGAATTGATCCAAAATGGCCCAAAATATACACTGGATCGAATTGGACCTGATCCATTTGTAATGGATTCAGATTGGAGTGGATTCGATTAGACCAAATCGAGTTCAATTGACACCCTAAACATTAACCTAAAGCACGATATTTTGAACCTATCCAATTATCCTTTTTTAATTCAGAGGGGTGGAAATAGTGTTATTTAACATTTAAAATAAAGATTTTTGAAAAACAAATAAAACCTTAAAAATAAAATATCAGCAATAGAATACATATCAACCGATACGGGACAATAAATTACAAAACTTTAATCTTTAGGCATAAAGTACAAATGTTTCAATACTGTCATGTCATATCAACGGATTGAATTTGGCACGGGACAACCTCAATCCCAAACCAAACCCAATTACGGCTTAAAGCTGACCTTGTTAACCCGATAGAGTCGGGTCAAGGCGGATGCACCACTTAACCTAACCCACTGGTATCCCTATCTGGAACCGGGAAGAGGATTAAGATGGATATGGACCCCCGGTTACCCTTTCTTATGTTTTAGACTTTTAATACTTAAACAGTGTTTCAACTTCCTACGCAAATGACAAATTTAACTCAGACTCCAGGTGAGGCAAAGAATTAATTTGAGTAATTTAAATGGAGGAAGAAGCATCAAACCCAAAAATAGAAATTGTTTGATCATATCCTTCAATCATTTCCGCCTCTTAATCCACATTATTGCTATTGTTCAAAGGTGTTGGGCCCCGAAGATTGATGATTTTCAACAAGTATTTATATTTTTGTAAGGGAAGAGTTTTGACCAATCAAAACCTACCTATGAATTTTGATAAATAACACTTAATTGGTTATCATATTTATGTTTACGATTTAAGTTGATTAGTCATAAGTTTTTCAGATATTATATCTTTTCCGTATCATAGCTGAACCTGTTTTCATAAGGTCACGTTTGTTTAGGGTAAAAAATCAAATCGGGGTAAACTTTATACCTCAGTTCGATTTTCTATATGTTTGAAAAGCATTTAGTTTTATACCGTAAATCGATGTAAAATTGATTTTTGAATTTTTTTACACCGACAATTGATGTAAAATATACATCAAAATTTTCAGTGTAAAATTAACGTCTCTCTCTCTCTCTCTCCTTCTTCTTCTTCCCCCTTTTTTTCTTTCTCTATTCCATCTTGTAGCGGCAAATCTGAACCCAGGGCGGTAGCGGCTCTCTCTCTCTCTCTCTCTCTTTTTCTCTCTCTCTCTCTTCTTCCCCCTTTTTTTCTTTCTCTATTCCGTCACTGCCACTGCAACTGGTTGCAGCGGCAGATCCGAACCCAGAGCGACACGGCACTAGAAATTTCTCTCTCTCTCTCTTCTTCCCCCTTTTTTTCTTTCTCTATTCCGTCACCGCCACTACAACTGGTTGCAGCGGCAGATCCGAACCCAGAGCGACACGGCACTAGAAATTTTTCTCTCTCTCTCTCTTCCTTCTCTCTTCTTCTTCTTCTTCCCTCCCTTTTTTCTTTCTCTGTTCTGTCACCACCACTACAACTAGTTGCAGCAGAAGATCTGAACCCACCTCCCATCTGTCTCTTTCTCTCGTTCTTCTCCTCTTTTTTCTTCTTCTGCTTCTCTCCTCCTCTGTGTAAATTTTCACATAAATTACACCTTAACAACTAAACATAGTCGGTGTAAATTTTCAAAATCTACTGGTCCCAATTTCCATCAACAACTAAACCGATTCACAAAACTGAATTTACACGTAAAACAAATGCAGCCTGAAGGACAAATTTTTTAAACTATCCTTAATGTTAATTCTACTCTTATTAGTTAATTATTTTCTTAAATTATTCCTACCTTTTTTTATAATTGCCATCATTGGTAATCATAACGGAAAGAATGAAATGTTCATTTTACCCTTATATTAAGAGAAAAACAGTAGGAGAGATGAACTTCGGGAAGAGTCCAGTCCAAGCTTGGTCTCTTCGCTGCTGCAGACAATCTTCGGGAAGAGTCCGTATTCTCTCGCAGCCCTCTTTTGGACGGCTATCGTCACCCGGCTGCCTTTATTGGTTCGTCTGCATTCTCGGCTCTGACATACAGAAGGGAGATCTGAAGCCCGGAAAACAAATCTGAAGCCAGTGTTGCTATGAGAGAGAGAGAAGACTGCCACTGCTGTGAGTTGCAGTGGCAGTGGTGGAAACGATAGGAAGGCAAGAAGAAGAAGAAAGAGAAGAAAAGAAAAAAGGAGAGCGAGAAGAGATCATCAAAAAGATAATCAGTGGAGGGAAACCGTTGCTATGCCTTCACTAGTTCCAATGGAGAAGAAGAAAAAGAAGAACCGCCGTCGGTTTCATTCTAGGAAGGCAAGAAGAAAAAAAGGAGAGAGAAGATCACCGAAAAGATAATCAGTGGAGGGAAACCGTTGCTATGCCGTCACTGGTCCGAATGGAGAAGAAGAAGAAGAACCGCCGTCCGTTCCATTATCTCTCTCTCTCAATTTTCCAACTTTGCCAATTTGCAAATCAGAAGAAAACAAATTTTAATTGAATAATTGTCATTCGGCCAAATTTATTCAGGCGCCTATTCCAAACAAATATTATAAGGCAATTTTCTTTTTGATTGAATTTTTTTATTGAGTAATTGCCATTTGATAAAAACGTTCGGCCACCTGTTGTTATCCACAGATAACAGATCTAAAGCCACCGGCTCTACCGTTGTCAAGAACACCTCCAAATGCCGCTCCCGGAAAACAGATTTAAAACCAATAACTCCATTTCTTTGTAAGAATGTCACAGAAAAGAGTGAGAGAGAAAGTAATATTAGATTTTAAAAAATTTTATACGTTATATGATATTATATTTTGATATAATATTAGCGAATGTTAATAATAAAAGTAGAGCTAGTCGATTCTTAAAAATAACAAAAATAGTTTAAACAATAAGAATAGCTTAAGAAATTTATAAAAAGACACACACATGCACATATTGATTCTTACCGACAAAATGAATTGATTAGCTGAGATAGTTTTACACGACAATGGTTAGCACGAGTGCCAAGTGGGCCCATGGCATTTTAAATCTGGGAAAGCCCCATCCGTACTTGGGCCTCTGACACGTAATCGTGGGCAGATTATGGGCCAACCAACAAAAGGTGGACTTGATCGGTTGATCCATCAAACCTTTCAAGTCATCAATAACTAGTGCACCAGTTGAGAAGCCGGTGATAATTGGTGAAAAACATTATTATTACGTTTATGCTAGCCTAGGGTAGAGTGCAAGCTCTGCTAGTAAAAAAGTAAAATTACTTCCACGTTGATTTAGAAAGCACACCTTACATGGGCTATCTTGGACTTTACCATGAAATAAATAAAGGAAACTATTCATTTACCCTGTTTCTCCCTTCACCAGCAGCCTCCAGGTTCTATATTACTGTTTAGCGTCATTTACTACAACATCCCTTATAATTTCACAGATTCACTTACACCTATCGTTTTATTAAACTACCTTTTTACCTTGCAATGTATTTATTTAATTGATTTTTTTATTTCAAAAATATTCTTAAAATGAGCGAAAAAGATCAAAGTTATGAATCAATGGTCATTTATTCTAAAAGTACCTTCACATTTTTTTTTTTGTGTAGAAAACAAAATTGAACAAATAGATAAAAATATAGTGGTTGTCCGTCTTTTATTAGGGGTAAAATAGACACTTTTATTTTTAGTTTCTTTTGATTAAATTTATTTAAATAGACGTTAATGTTAAAATTGTCATTTCCCACTCTCATCTAATGGAAGGTCAATTAAGTAAATTGATTGTAAACAATAGAGGATGTTTATGTTTTAGTAAAACATAAATGATAAGGAGACTTTAGCAAATTTAAGAAACTATAGGAGGTGTTTTAGTAAATGGCCCTACTGTTTAATTCTATCAAAATTCAAAAACCCATCATTATATAGTCTGCATTCCATTTTCTCTTACATTTTTATTCACCACCTCTCTCTCTCTCTCAACCCCTCTTAGTGAGGTTAGTCTTCTTCAATCCCATCAAGGTTTGGTGAATTCTTTTTTTATGCCCATTTGTGCTTTAGGTTTCTCTTGGTGGTTTTTCTTTTACTTGGTTTATCAACATCTGCTTGATTTTGTGGAGAATAGGGACAGGGTTTCATAAGAAATTTCTTATTCAAGTGGATCTTATATCCGACCTTTTGTGGTTGGTTTTTTGATCCATTTCGAAAACATTTCTCCCCTTCTTATAGAAAGCTCCAAACGTGAACTTTCAAGCCCCATCAGCATTTTTTCCGTTGAGTTCCTATTCTTGGTCTCCCCTGGAAGCATTGCAACTTTTTGGGGTTTCCATTGACTGGGTTTTTTGGTTCTCTTTTTTTACAGATTTCCTTTGACTGGGTTTGATACCTGTTTTTTCTTTTCTTGGTTCCGATTCTTCTTCTCTTCTTGCAAAGGGATCTATTAATTAATGATGACGAGTTTTGGTTGTCGAAGGAATTTGGAGAGTTAGGAAACACAAAAATTAAAGAACAGCAGAAATGGAAACTACCATGGTTTTCATGGTTAGTAGCATACTAGTAGTGTTGTTGAGTTCTTCTGCAAATGCTCTGTCAGTTAGATCTCTATCCTCATCGGTGTCGACACCGGCACCTGCACCGGCGCCAGATTACGTTAACCTCACCCATTTACTCTCAGTAGCCGGCCCCTACCACACCTTCCTTAAGTATCTGGAAGGAACCGACGTCATCCAAACATTTCAAAATCAAGTCGATAACACAAAACAAGGCATAACCATCTTCGCACCGAAAGACCAGTCCTTTGCATCTCTTAAAAAGCCACCTCTCACCAATCTAACCAACGAACAACTCCGATCACTCCTCCAATTTCATGCCTTGCCACAGTACTACTCTCTAGCAGACTTCAAGAACCTGAGCCAATCGAACCCCGTCACCACATTTGCAGGTGGACAGTACACGCTCAACTTCACGTATTCTTCAGGGACAATCAACATAGGCTCGGGATGGACAAACGCCAAGGTGAGCAGTAGTGTGCATTCGACAGATCCAGTTGCAGTGTATCAGGTCGACAAGGTCCTTATCCCCGAAGCCATCTTTGGCAATCCTCCACCTCCGTCACCGCCATCTCCGGCGGCACCAGCTCCTGACATTGCTCCAGGCTCTTCTGCAGGTAGCCCCGGCCCCGTTGGAGATGAGCCTTCTCCCAGTGCTTCATCTGCCTCCTCTTATAGGATCGTCACCTGGAGTATCTTCAGTTACTTCCTTTTATTGGAAGTTTCAGGTGGGTTGATCTTATTCTTGTAAGAGAGAGTTTCAATTCTTATGCGGAACTGTGTCACTGTGCGAACGTTTAATTTATTTTCCGAGAGAGAGAGAGAGCGATGATTGTTTTCGTTGCTTCAATTGCTTTGCTTTCAAGCTCAATCATTTTTTTCTGAACATAACATGTAATTGAGATTTGAAGGATGCAATTTCTACTCTTACAATCATTGAGTGTTATTACTCCTCCACAAATTCAATCTCAGTTTCTTCCTTCTCTTCGTGAATTTTGGTGATATGATTTTATCTGAAAATGATGTTCCGTGTTCTCCCTTATTATATTATTAATATTTTTGTTGCGTGATCACCGATTCTCTCTGAAAGACAGCACGGTGCATGCATATATGCACGTATAAATGGATGTATGCACCTCTGTGACTAGCGTTGTTTGGTTACTAGCAGATCCCACACTGTAATGGTGAGAAATGGGACCAACTATTGTATCCATGGTGCTCATGGATGACTCTGGACCTTTCACTTGCTATGGGCCAAAATAGCCTGCTGTCTGACGACCCTTGGACCTGGCCCAGCGTTGGACAGCTTTCTAATGGAGCCCAACTGAATTGAATCATTTACGGTCAAGGAATTGATGAATGGCTCCATTCAATCAGGTCCATAGTTGAAATTTCAAACTCAGATCGATTCAATCATTATTCACATTAAGAAACGTGATTGAAGTTAAAGATCACTAATTAAACTTGAACTGGTGAACTCCCTCGGTTAAGGAATTTTTATGAAATCATCCTTTAAAATACGCTATGAATGGATACATAACCAGCATTGTATTATATGCTTAAGTAAAGGTCAGAACTTTATAGCTTATTCTATAGCCCAGAGAGGATCTTGGGACAAGGGAGAGTTTTGTTGCTAGCTTTCCCTCCTTGATCATAAACCTCTTTAGAGATGCTTCTGCTTCTTTTTCAGATATCTTGCCCACAAACTGCTCCCACATCCATACCTACAAGACATTACTTCCGTTTCGTGTATTAGCAATATCTCCCCATGAATGATAAGGGAGATATTCCCAATGTGTGTCTATACCATCTTGTGGGGATGATATGAGACAGTTTGGGTAGGGGATTCGAGCTTCACTTTGCTTGTTTAATGAATGCATTTCTTACCAAAAGAAAGTATTATATGTTTAAGTTTGCTTTAAAGTCGCTCTCATCCTAAAATTAAGAGAATTGGGATCTATTCTTCACAGACTACTACTCATCAAACCGACCTCACAGCCACATCCCACCATGAATTGAGAACATCTTCCATGAAAAATAATAAATAAGAATAGAAAATATTTCCAATGTGCCGCTGAAATATGCAGATCCGGACTCAAATCAAAGAGGCAATAGAAACTCCCCATTAGAGAGCCTGCAGTAATTAGAAGGACGCCGGCTGACCATCTCAACGACTGGGTCATCAGCCATAGAACATTTACTACTTTCGCATGATTGATTCACACATATACAAGCAAGGATTATGGGGATGAATATTTAACTTCTCAATGAAGAGAAATGTTGATTCTTTGACGACAGCAGATTATCTGCTCTTTTTGATGTGGATGTTGATTGTTGAATGATTGAATCTATTCCTTCACGAATCTATAAAGAGATAAATCCTGAGACAATAAGTAGTAAAATGGTTCAACTAAAATAGTAAACAAGACCAGAAAAAAAAATGACGAACAACCTAACAAAATCGCATCAACCAGAAAACGCGGCGGTAACAATCTATCAATATTCAAGATCAATGTTCACAATCAGTGCATTTACATCAGGCCTTGTGTTGGTTCGATTGATGGCGTATAGCAATACATTGCAGAAAGAACAAAGCCCATGAGAAGCAGCGAGGAAGGAAGGAGATCAAGTGGAGAGATCAGATTTCTCACTCGTTCCTCATTTGACGCTCAAGCTTCTAATTTCCTCCCAAGGTTGAGAATATAGGCCCCGTTTGGTACATGGAAATAGGGTCTGGGTCTGAAATCGGAATAGGCTATTCTGATTTCAACAGCTTGGTTGGGCATAATCAGAATCCCATTCCCTATCCTTTCTTTGGGAATGAAATCCTATTCCTATTGATTCCAATTCATATTCTCATGAATCAATTCATATTCTCATTCCTGTTTGAATCAAACAGACTATTAGGAATGGATCATTCCAATTCTATTTTCAGAGAATATTGATTCTGATTGCAAACCAAACAGATCCTTAGAAATGACTTCTCCCCATAATTCCATTTGTAAATAGATGAACATTAAAAAAAAAAAAAAAAGCCCATGACAATACCACCGCAATTTATCATCATCCGGTACAAGTGTAAGATTAATTAATTAACTACTTTTTGTGCATCTCCTTCAAGGTGGATACCGGAGCCATTGGGCTCCAATAATTCCATGTCATTATGTATTCTTGCCATGAATGTTAGTAGTCTTTAAGACTCCATTTAGTTTGTGGGATGGGGATGAGAAAAGGGAATATTCTAAAAATATTCATTTTTCTTTTATTTGTTTTGAGGGAAATAAAGGGATGGGATGAGAAAAATGTGGGATGCAAAATCTCAAAATTGTGGAATCGGGGTCGCACTGTTTTGGTGCAACCCCGGTGGAAAAACTCGAGTTTTCTTCATTTGCAGGATGGGCCTTCTTCAACTGTATAAGGTGACGAACCAGCGATGACAAACGGCAGAGGAACCATTGTTTTCTATTCTTCACAGTTTTCTTCAATTGGAGTAAGGCGACAACAACAAACAGTGCGACCCGATCTATTCTCCACTGTTTTCTTCACCAAATACTGGCAAGGAACCACAGCATGTTCATTGCCTTCCCCGTTCGAACAGAGGAGGCAACGGTGGCAAGGAGAGCCAGTGCGAGGGGCAGCAGCGATTTGCTACCATCGAATAGAAGAGGTGGTGATGGCAAGAGAACCAATGTGAGGGGCAACGGCGATTTGCTACCATCGAACAAAAGAAGCGGCGGCAGAGGAGACAGCAGTGGCAAGAGAACCAGTGCAAGGGGCAGTGGCAATCTACTACCAACAAACAGAAGAGGCGGCAGTAGCAAGAGAACCAGTGCGAGGGGCAGCAGCAATATGCTACCTTCCCTGTTCTGTGTCTCTCCCTCCATCCTCCTCTTCTCTCTTCTCCCTCACCTTCTTCTTCTTCCTATTCTTCCCATCTTCCTCCCTAATCACCTTCTTCTTCTTCTTCTTCTTCTTACATGAATCCAGCGAAGAACTAGGTCGTGACAATGCTTTTCCTATTATTTTTCCATATATAAAATCTTACACTAGAAAGTTAAATTTTTACATTTTCCCATTCCATCCCATCCTACCCAAATCTTCCCACAAATCAAACAGAGCCTAAAAATCCTTTCATTTGGTTTGTAGTTGGAATTAGAATCAGAATGGTCAATTCCCCTAACTTGTTTGATTTAGATGATAATCAAAATTAGAATATTAAAACTGGATTTCCATTCCTAAGAGAGGGGGATGAAATGATTATTCCACCAAATGGGAAAATGCCATTTCACCGAGAATGGGAATCAGATCTAATTTCGTCCAATCAAACAGTTGCAATTCTAAACCCCAGATCCTAGATTTGGAATTCCTGATCCCAAATTTCATTCCTCCAATGCTCAATACGCATGACTATTCGATGCTTGGATTTAATTCCAAATAAATGTCTTAGAGCTATGCAGGCCGTATTACTGCACCCCACATAAATGCACTGCACACCACGCATCTGGAACATTATATCATCTCGGATATTCTGGATTTGCGGTGGAGTGTGGATGTTTGGTTTTCTGAGAAGTCTATTATTGTATTAATTTTTTTTTTTAAGGAGTTGAGGTAGAAACGTATGGACTTTGGGCGTAAAAAACAAGAACATAAGAACCTTTTTGGGTATTTGGTGATATGCATCATTAATAAGTAAGACTGGATCTAATAGGCACAACATTGCAAGCATGTTTAAGTATATGTTTGGCATCAATACTGCAGAGCTGCTGATGTGTAGGTTGGAAGCCCTTTTTTTTTTGTTTGGAAACGTTGTTGTTAGGTAAGACGTTTCGTGGAGCAACAACAACATTTTTTATTTGGTACCAGTGCTCTAGGAAACGTTTTCATCATTGATACCTATTATCCAGTGCTACATCACTGCCACCTCGAGTCCATATTGGCAACAACGAGCTGCAAATCCAGGAAACACCAAATTTGGTATTGCTCGAAGCTATGCCTTCCCGATTTTCAAGACATGATTTGGAGCACCGTTTTTTATGAAAAAATGGTTCTAAACAAATGCCCATTTCCTAGAATATCGTTTTTTTCCGATATAACACTAATGTAGCACCGTTTTCTAGAGCAACAGCTATGATGCCAAATAGACGCTAAATGAACATTTGATAAATATTATAACAAGTGTCAAAAATAGCTATTAATCATTTTTAAAGATAGATTAGAGTATTTTAAGGGACAAGTGTCATAAAAATTTCTAAATAATCATTTAACTTATTTATAATATTGTGCTTACCTGATCCAAACTGCTAATAACCCTTTTTTAGAGTCGACAGTGCAAGAATCGAATCCACACAAGATCAAATCATCAAACGAATTAATATACCAACTGAACCATCACTATTATAACATAAGGACTTCTAAAATCCCATAATTAGAAAATGAATATTCTTTCCAGACCGCCCAGACTCCGAGTCTATTTGGGTGGGTCAGAGCCGAATATGTATAATTGTTTGATCATAAATCCACCGTCCTACTCCTACATGTGGAAGGAATATTTTGACTTGAGCTTCGTATTGGGAAAGACAGTACATTATATCTTACATCTATACCGTTGCATATCACTAGATCCAATTTGCCAGACGGCAACCCTTGTCTGATGGGGCCCCACCGTATAAATCCGAATGCAATGAGAGAGAAAGAACAGCCATACAAATCGTGGACGGCCGTTCAACTTTCGGTGGTCACCGGGAAAAAAATACAATTTCTATTTTCTAGAAAAGAAAAGAGAGTACGTAATTTTGTTTGCACTCCACTCGCTCGCTTAAATCTTAACAAGTTAACAGGTGTGACGTGTGAATTACAAAAGTGATATTGTCCTGAGTTCTCTCTCTCTTTCTGGATTTTAGTACTCTTTTTTCTCACTCCCCCTTCTTTGTCGGTGAACCTTTTCGGAGTTATTTGCGCATGTGTGTCTTCCGGTCTTCCTTAGGAAATTCGATTAATCCCTGCTTTTTGGGTTGAATGGGCTTTTAACCCTGTTTCACGTGATGGGCTTATTTGTTGAAATAAATAAGCTTATTTCAAGTCATGAATTAATTCATTTTTTTTATTTTACATTATAATTCTTTTTTCTTTATCATCCACGGACGATGGATGGGCTCCACCTCAGTGATACACCAAGGCTCAGTTTGAGAGGAATACAAATACAAATAGTGTAAAACTTTGTATTCTGTATGTATTAATATTATATGTATTTGTATTTATAAAAATGAGTTATTTTAAAATCCAAATCACTTGACCTTAATATATCAATATGAGCATTTCTATAAGCTCTAAAAGATGCTAATTGTTTGGCATACCATTTAATTCCTTAATCAAATTTAAATCCATGCAATGGTAGATTTTCTCAATACACGCCCCACAATTCATCCTAGACATGTATTGAGAATAATTTTCCATAATAAATGCACGAGATATTCTCAATACACGCTGATATGTGCATGTGAAACGTCAATCTGAACCCTCCAAGTATGCTTTCATTCCGACAAGGAATTGACTTTCTGGTAAAGGTAGTTTTAGTAGCTTCTTAAGAACGACTAAATGAAAGCAACTTAATTAAATTTAAAGCCCTCCCAAACGGATGACCCAGAATTAAAGAGGATCATACATTGAAACATCACAGAATCTTTAAGAGCCTTATCACACAAATTGCCTGAATCTGTATGTTTTATTTTGACCCAATAAATTTTTTTCCTTATTTTCTAAGACCAATTAATCTACTCTTTAATGCCCCATGATGCCAACGTTGATCATGCAATTAAAAGTGATAAACTCAACCGGATATTCTAACAATCAAAATAATCAAATCTAAGTCATTTTTAAAACATTGAACCAGTTTTATTTAATTATCCATTCAAGTTTAAAAATGAATGAACAAAGGGGAAGGAAGAGATGTTCATCCTATCTGTAAACCATGGATAAAATATTAGGATGTCTCTTTCCGGTGCGATATGCTTTTAAAATATTAGCTGCCTTTTTCCACCATTTTTGGAAAGAGAAGGAAAAGAGGAAAAGCTGAAATTTTTAAATAAAATATAAATAAATTTTAAGCCCACTAGTCTAATTAGATTAATGGGGTGAATCCCATCATTCATTCCAATCTCATGGCAGTCACAGTAGGGCTTACCCATCAATGGTCATCCCCGACCTCCCTTACACAACTAAAGTGTATGATCTAAGAAGAAACACCACTACTGCTGCATCATCAGATAAAGCAACCCACATCATTCCAACCAAAGTGTATGATAAGCAGACCCTCAAAGAATCACCAAGTTTACCTTACACACTACTCATCCTCTCTCTCTCTCTCTTTTCTAAGAAAAAAAAAAAAAGCCTTGGGATTGGCAAGTCATTGTCTAAGCTAGAACAAGAACAAATTAGAAAATTAATCTTATCCCAGCAATTTGAGCTGTGGTGGTTATAAACTATCTGCCACTCCCAATCTGTCTGGTTTCTAGGGCCCAATGGCCCATATCCCTCTCTCGCATGTAAGTACAAACAAACTTATGATTTTGTTAATATGGTCTAGAGATGAAAACAAAAAAGGTTGCCAGCTTGGCAGTTGGGGCCATCCTTTTCGGTTAGTGGGTGCAGAATTCCTTATTAACATCTCTCTCTCTCTCATGTGCTTACATCTTTAGTGGACCAAGCATCCCCTTTTTTTTTTTTTTTATTAAATCCACCACTTTTCTCCCCAGACCTGCCCTAAGCATCTCTTTTTGCACTTTCATGGCTTAAACTTCTTAAATCCATTTGTTTTGGGGCCAACTTGCCCCCTTTTTGACACGTGGCAAATTAAAGCTCCACACCCTAGAGTAATAAGCTTGAGTTTACAATCTCTCACAACAGCCATGTTGCTGTGTATTGTGTCGTAGAAAAGCCCCAGAGGCTCAGACAAACCTTGTTTGTCATCTAGAACGTGAATCATATCTATCACTTGATGATGCAATATCGGTGGGTCCCCAGATGGTTGCATGTCCGCCACGTAGCGTGATGCATTGCGCTGGTAAACATCTCCACGCATCCATGGTCGGAGATTCGATACATCCAAAGAAGAAAAATAAGAGAGAAAAGCAATAAAAAGGAAGGCAGTCTCGAAGACAGCACGCTCTTGGCTGGCCCCTCTTACCCTCGGTCTTCGCGGGTCCGTAGGGAAAACGGTTTTCGTTTTCTCTCCTTCCTCACTTTGCTCGCCAACGAAGGAAAATCGATCCCTCTTCTCTTCTCGTCTCCTTCTCCATTCGAAGAAGAACCATTGAATATCTGAAGAAGAGTCAAACCTGCAAAAAAATAATTAAGGAAGAAAAAAGAAAAACTTAGCGACTGAAACATGAACCTTTGATTGAAACAGGTCTCTCTTTTCTTGAATTCTCTCTCAATACCTAATTACCTTTCTCGTTTTCGATTAGTTTCCTTATCTTGCCAAGGAAATTCTTGCAAACAAGGAAACTTTGTTTTTTTCGCCATTTTTCTTGTGTCTTTGGATTTCGTCTCTCTGTATCCGTCTGTCGAGAATGGAGAAGGAGAGATTGGATATTCATGCACGTTAAGCCACCTGTCTGCATGGTTTGTCATTTGGGAGTTTTCTTTGCCTGCGAAAAATGGATCTGAGTTCGATTGCTGGTGTTGCTTATTGAATTCTCTGTTTTGCGATTTGTATTTTCGTGAAATTCCACGGAGGAATCTACTGGATAATTAGCTTCTTCCCCACGTTGGTCACTCGCAACAGGGGGCGAAGATGTCCAGTTACGTTGGTGTTCTCGTTTCCGATCCATGGCTTCAGAGCCAGTTCACTCAGGTCGAACTTCGCGCCCTCAAATCCAAAGTATGTATCTAAATGTCTTGACATCTTCTTTGTTTGAATCGGGTGTTTTTCGTTGCTCTTTTTATTTGAGGTGATTATCTGATCTGTTTTGCGATTATGAGATGATTTATGAACTCCGTTGCATTTATTTCTTCAGTTTCTTTCGACAAGGAATGAATCGGGTCGAGTTACTGTGGGAAATTTGCCGCCCGTATTGGCAAAATTAAAGGCCTTTAATGAAATGCTCTCCGAGCTAGAGATTACCGGGATCTTGGGGGAATCATTTTCTGACATGACCGAAGAGATTGATTTCGAAGCCTTCCTCCGGGTGAGTCTTCTCTAGTTTTGATTTTTAGTTCCTGCTTTCTTCTCTACTTCTCCTTTAATCAATGACAACTCTGTTCATAGAAAGAGAAGAAAGACAATAGTGTCTTACCTTTCAATGGAGTTGGAAGGATGAAAGTATTTGTTGATGAACCACATTCATTGGTCAGGCGTATTTGAATTTGCAAGCCCGAGCTCAGGCCAAATTGGGGGGTTCAAGGACGCCATCGTCATTCCTCAAGGCCACAACAACTACCCTGCTTCACACCATTAGTGAATCGGAGAAGGCGTCTTATGTTGCCCACATCAACAGCTACCTCGGAGAAGACCCGTTCTTGAAGAAATATCTTCCTTTAGATCCATCTGATAATAGTCTGTTTGATCTAGTAAAAGACGGAGTTCTTCTCTGGTAAATATACAGAATAATTCTCTACTTGATTGTGATGCAGTATGTTTCTCTTGGTTGCTAATTGGGATGTCCGGTGGCTTGACGCAGTAAGCTGATAAATGTTGCCGTTCCTGGGACGATTGACGAGCGTGCTATTAATACCAAACGGGTACTAAATCCATGGGAAAGGAATGAAAACCATACCCTTTGCCTCAATTCTGCAAAGGCTATTGGCTGCACTGTGGTCAACATTGGAACACAAGACTTGGTCGAAGGAAGGGTGAGTTGAGTTCATATCAGCTACCCATTTGTGTTTTATTGGTAAAGTCTGTCCATGCAACTTGAGAAAGACTCTCAAGTTTCCTTTACTTCTTTTTGTAGCCGCACCTGTTACTTGGTTTGATTTCCCAGATTATAAAGGTATGAAGCTAAATATGTTCCTTCTTAATATTTTTCATAATGCTCTCTGGTTCAGATTGTGGAGATTAATTCTTCGCATTCATGTTTATTCCATTTTTACTTTGATTGCCTTTACATGTGATGATGGTTTCAGATCCAACTGTTAGCAGACCTCAATTTAAAGAAAACTCCTCAGCTTGTGGAATTGGTTGATGACAGTAAGGTGAAGACACATTGATTTATTTTCCTATTTTTCTACTTTATTTTTAAATTTCAGAAAATGGGGGTTTTACCCTTTTGCTTTTATGTTGAAACTTGGAAAGAAGGAAATATCATTTGTTCTTTCTTGATATCAAACTTTACAGGATGTGGAAGAACTCATGGGTTTAGCCCCAGAAAAAATATTGCTACGGTGGATGAATTTCCACCTGAAGAAAGCAGGATATAAGAAAACCATTACAAATTTCTCCTCAGATGTAAAGGTAAGAGGTGTAATTGATCGATGCCTTTCTATTTTTAGTCAATGGCAAGAGAAATTTTTGGTTGGTATTGTTCCAGACCCTGCATTTGGCGGGAGCCTCGAACACTGGGCTGCCCCTTTTATTGTTCCAGAATTAAAGCAGTTGTTATTAGTGAAACATATGTGCATTCTCCTGCAAAAGTCTATTTACAATTGTAAACCTATGTCTGGTTCATGTGTAAATAGGTAAAACCTGGAGAAAATTTTAGGCAGTTTGGTGTTCTTATGCATTCTTGATTGCACAGCTGGTGCTTGTACTCTTAATAGAGGTGAAGCTCAGTTATTTCTAGAATTATAATGAAATAGGAGAGAGAATAAAAGCATGAGCATATTTATAGGAAAAAGTCCTACTCCTACAGAAGTTGTTCTAACTTCTCCTGGTCTTGCACACTCCAGTTTTTCCCTCCCAGCAGCTTCTTATTCTATCACTTGCAACCATGGCCTAAATAATAAAGCCACACTAATAGAATATACTTTAATGTTGAGCATCTTCTGCATAATGATTAACTCTATGCACCTACAGGATGGAGAGGCTTACGCTTTCCTGCTTAATGTTCTTGCCCCAGAGCACTGTAGCCCATCCACCTTAGATGCAAAGGATCCTACTGAAAGGGCAAACTTGATACTTGAGCATGCTGAGAGAATGAACTGTAAGAGATACCTAACACCAAAGGACATTGTTGAGGGTTCACCAAACTTGAATCTTGCATTTGTTGCACATATATTTCATCATAGGTAAAAAATGAATTATTCTACATTTTATCTTGTTTCCTTTAGAAGAATACTGGATCTTCTCTTTCTACTTTAGTCTAGCCATAGCATTCTTTCAAAATGACTGAGGTTCATTTGCTATAGAATTTAGATTTCTTCTATCATTGTGTTAAGTGGACTCATTGTACTTATGAAAAGGTTCATATTTGTAGGAAAAAGTTCAGAAAGCTTATGGTTATCTTTTCACTGTTGCTTCTTAACTTGGTAATATAAGAAGCATATCTGCAGGATCTGGACATAGTTACTTTTGGTTGGAAATTTTTTGGGCTAAATTCTAAATGTTCTTTTTGCAATTGCATGATTGCAACCATATGATTTCTCAATTTTAATTTGGCCCATCCAAACAATATATGGTTATTTGTGCTTTACCCCCTCCCCTCCCCCCTTTTTGTCTCTCTTTTTTTTCCTTATTTAAGTTGAAAGTATCAGGATGCTGTTAATAGTAGGAAGCTGTCTTGTTTGTGGCATGCTAATGTGGTTTGGATCTCTTTTTGCAGGAATGGCTTGTCTACAGACAGTAAAAAGATCTCGTTTGCAGAAATGATGACAGATGATGTTCAAGTATCCAGAGAAGAGAGATGCTTCCGACTGTGGATCAACAGTCTTGGAATTGCTACATATGTCAACAATGTATTTGAGGATGTCAGAAATGGGTGAGTTTGTATTTCCTTTTGCATTAATAGTCTAGTCTCTTACCAATCATGTTTGATGTACATCTCTAATGCATGCAGATGGGTTCTTTTGGAAGTGCTTGACAAAGTATCTCCAGGATCAGTTAACTGGAAGCATGCCACAAAACCTCCCATCAAGATGCCATTTAGAAAAGTAGAGAATTGCAACCAAGTAGTAAGGATTGGGAAGGAGTTGAAGTTTTCCCTCGTCAATCTAGGTGGAAATGATATTGTACAAGGAAATAAGAAGCTTATACTTGGTAAGCATCTCCGTAGTAAGATCAAAATATGGTATATTATTGTAGTAGATATTTACTATCATGTATTTATCAGATGCTCTTCCATAAATCATAATGATAATATATCAACTGACTCGACAAGATGCTAAGCATTGCTAGGAAGCCCAATCCTAATTATGTTGGTTTCTTTAAGATGAACATTTAGCTTGAATGTGAACAGGAACTTAAATAGCACATCTATCCCAGTTGTACATGGTTATTTTTGGTTGGTGGATCATCTCCAGGATGGAGGGTGTTTAAAAACCATGTGATCCAACAATTTGAGCTGGCAATTTTGGAGTCTGAAATACATGGTTTTACATTACACGGAATCCCTGTAGATGTACTAAGCATTATGTATCGTGTGCATAAGCCTATCATCTCAACTGATAAAAATGGACCATTTACATATGTTCATTTCCAGGTGTCATGTTCTGTTCTTCAAATATGTTAACTTTGTCTTAAGTTCACTGACAAGTGACAAGTTATAGCATAGTCTTAGACGTTAGTACCCCAAAAGTTGAACTTCATCTGAAGTCTCCTCAAGTCCCCAATTATTTCTTCTTACATGATTGGACTTATAAAGAATGTCATTCAGAAAAGAATTAACTTATCCCCAAGTACTGCAATCAGTGTTATATTCTCATGGGATAGTAACTTCTTGAGACAAAGCATTAAAATATAGGACACTGGTAGTATGCACTATAATGCTATTTTATATGCATGCATCTATATATCACATGGATGTTGGTTTTGGTGGTCCATGATGTAATGGATCTTAAATTCTATCCATGTCATGGGGAGACATCTACTGCAAGCCTACACCTAGTGCTGTTGCATCTTGCATGTCATGAACAAGAAAGCTCTTCATAACTCCTCCATGACTCTAGATGAACTTAAAGAACATCATATTTTCTTGAGATTTTTTGAGCTTCATTTAACTAAATTAGCCTTACAGTTCGAATCTAGAATGAAATTCTTCCCTGACCTTCTTCCTTTCTTTGCCTAATAAATTTTAGTTCTTACCTACCGATTTGCATCAATTGTTTTATTCATAAGATTCGTTTCAAGTTCCACTGAATTTTCTGGACCTGTCCCAGCTTTCCTTTGGCAGTTGATGAAATTAAATATGCTCCAACTATTGAAAAATTTGAGAGTCTATTCACAAGGGAAGGAAATGACAGATAGCGATATCCTAAATTGGGCAAATAAGAAGGTGAAGAGTGCCAATAGAAATTCACAGATGGAAAGCTTCAAGGTAACAACCTTTTCTTTTATTACCTTCAATTCTTAAAAATTTCGTGAATGTTTTGATTTGACTGCATTTTGTCTTCAGGATAAGAACCTTTCAAATGGGATATTCTTCCTTGAGCTTCTTAGTTCTGTAGAGCCAAGGGTTGTGAACTGGAACCTTGTTACAAAGGGTGAAAGTGGTATGTTGGCTTGAAATTGCTGCAACTAATTCCATTATTATGACTTATGAGTTCTAGTTCTGTGATATGCACAAATGTTCACACCTTTGAGATACATACACACAAAGTAGAATGAAATTGTAATGGATTAGGATGAAAGAAAAACCTTTCTTATGTTTTGGCATTGAAATGGCAGATGATGAAAAGAGGTTGAATGCTACATATATAATCAGTGTTGCACGGAAGCTTGGGTGTTCCATTTTCTTGTTGCCCGAGGACATAATGGAGGTAAGAGCGTTCATTGATGGATTTATACATTTGTGTGCCAGACCCCATACAGATACAGAACTAGAAACCATTTCAATTAACAGTTCACTGCGATTTTCCTGATCTTTGCTCCAGTTTTATGTTCTCCTTTAAATTTGGTTTGATTCTCAAGTCACCATGACTTTGTTAGAACTCAAAACATCCTAAATTTTGGAAACTGACCGAATTACCTGCATGCTGTAGTACTTGAAGTTTGCAAATAATTTAATAGAATTTATTTTTATTTTCCTTTTATTCTTCTTTCTTTCTGGCAGGGGAGCATATTTAGATTTAAAATATTAATACAACTAACCCTGCTTTTATAAACATATAAACATAGGGTAAAAGACATGATCCTTGAAAAAATTACAGCCAATCAAACAATATCAGAAAAGTGGTGACCAATCAGATGGTATTCATCAAAATTCACAGGGTGCTTTTCATTGGTCAAAGCTCTTCCGGTACCCATGTGTTTTTGGTATCATACATTTTCCCGTAAACATAACGTAGGAGTTGTCCTGAGCAGTTCATTGGGATTACAATCTCCTTAACCACATTGCACTTTCTCTTTTTCCTTTTTTTTGGTAAGTTCAGATGTCAGAAATAGTAGTTCTTGATGTTTGGTGAGTAGACGAATTGCTATGCATTAATCATTGAAAAGATGTTACCACTTGGTATTACCTAAAATGTAGTTGAATCTTGTGGCAGGTAAACCAAAAGATGATCCTTATTCTAACAGCCAGCATCATGTACTGGAGCTTAACGCAACCTGTTGAAGAATCAGAATCAACTGCAGGTGAGAAAGCTGCAACTCCAGATGCATCCCCAGCTCTCTCTGTTGATGCCGAAAATGGGGACGTTCTAGCAAGTGCAGTCTCAAATTTGACCATGGAAAATGGAACCAAAGATACTACATCTTCCTCGTTGGTTGATGGTGAGGATTCAGACAACACGTCTTCCGCAGTAGTTGAAAACGGGGACACTCCCAGCAAAAGAATAACACCCATAAATTCCAACTCAGAAACAGGAGAAGAAAAGGTGGTACGATAACTAGGATACAAGCTAGAACAAATGCACAGTTGTCTTAGATGTGCATATAGTCAAAGATTAATGGTCACTGTAAAATCTGTGCCCTATCCTCTGCATTTTCTTTTGGTTGGCGCGAGGGAGGATGTTCTTTTCTTTTTGTAACTAGAGTTTTGTTATTGCTTAGGTGTATTCTTTGGAACGATATGTCAATAATGTTGAATTAAACGTGGAAAAGTAGTAGCTAATGAGGCCTTTCTCTTGTTTCACTTTCAAGTATTTGCGTTTCAAAATGTAATCCTTGATTTTCTGGGAAAGGAGGCAGGGGTGGAGGTTAGCCGCATCCGACCAGGCATTGGTTCGAATTTCGAAATGCAATTTCAACCATTTCTCCTGCAGAAGGATATCTTTCTGGTCTCTAGTTGCTCTTATTCCTGCAGCTCTTCCTCCTACCAGCTATATTTGTCTAAGCGACGTTAAAAACTGAGTATGTCTGTTTTTCAAGAAGAAACATAGAACATCAAAGACCGAAGAATGTTTGATATTAGATGGTTGGATACAACTACCTCCCATAAAGAAACTAGAGGTAGCAGCATAACCCCAGTTCTTGACTTGTTGCTTGATGTAACTGGATTTTAGACTTTTAGGGCTTTCAAATGTGGCTTCATTTGCAACATACTAATACCACCCCACAAACCTCTCCCTCCACTATCTTAAACCAAAATCATGCTAAACCCAAGCTATTGTTGTGCCATGGTTTTGCTTTATGGAGTAAACAATCGAAAGTCGAAGCATCCCTTTTGATCCTTCATGAGATCACCTAAAGCTGCTCGTAAGCAGTGATGATTCACAACTAAGTATGTTCAATGGAAAAACCAAGGGAAACCGGCTTAGTCTAGAAAATGAAGTGGCTACAGGATGGTTGCAGAGTGCAGGCTGCAACAAATTATTCAATCAAGTAAACTTCGGCCTAGGAGCTAGGAGATCAAATTATGAGCTTACAACCGAATCGGCGGTTGAGAGAACTCGAGGCAAAGCCAATTTGATATCGATTATCGAGGCATTGTAAATGCACGTGAATGAAGGACCGAGGAATTGGGTCAGGACAAAAAGTAATGAGCTCATCAACACCGTCAAATGTGAAATGCCAAAGCTTTTATTTTTATATATAAAAAAGAATAAATAWTGCTTWCATATYCTTTYCYTTTTYTGCTTTTTTTTTTTTTTTTTTTTTAGGGGTGGGGGGGTYTKTCTAGTTTCAAGMMTCWKCAKCKAGWKKATCATGATTCTCCTGTTCTGCCATAACCAGGAGCATCTCCAGCCTCCTGTCAAACAGAGCTGCACTCTCGTCTCTCTTGTCAAGCTCAGCAGCTTCCACCTCAAGCCATTTCTCTCGCAAGTCATCAAGAAGATTACCTTGGTCGACATTCACACCAGCTCCTGGGGCACTTGGAAGTGTAGTTCGAAGAGAGGAATCTCCAGAAGGTGGTGGGAGTGTCAAAAGCATCGCCCGGAACTCACGAGTGTCAGCAAATGTCTCAAAATTACAAGCAATTATGTCTAGGCAGTACTCCCTTATCTTCAGAACTCCATACCTGTTTCAGCACAAAAATAAATCGAGCCTGTTTAGCCATTTGTTAATAATGCACCACGACTATTCCAAGACTTTGAAGACAACCATGTAGAGAGGGATAGGTTTCTCATTAATTCATCATTTTACACAGCTATCAGCACCAGCAGTAACAAAAATTTGGCTGGTCAGCCTCTTTTTTATACACTCTTTAGTCTTTATAGGGCTCTCTTTTGAATTTCAATGAACAGGCCCCTTTTGTAGACTCCATTGCAAAAACTTGCTAAAATGAAAAAGAAAATACAACACCAATGTATTTGGTGACCAGTAACCCGCATTCCATCCACATGATATTTTATGCGTAAGTTTTTTCAGGTAAGTAGCCAGTCAGTTGCATTAATATTTCAAAAAGAGATCAACTTGGGAGGTGTAATAGGATCTTCACATGGTTAGTGGGAGTAAACCATCACTACCATATATGATCCCCCAATCTCTTTAGTCTTTACACCAAAATTCTTCAAAACCGTGAATGAGTTGACAAAGGTCCTCTGATTATACCTATCAGCTTCTAAAGGGGAGAACTTTTGCAATCAAATGTACGGCAACCCTTCTCCTACAAAGTGCACAAATGGAAGGCAAAAGAAAGAGGTTCCATTTTGTCAGAACCCTAAGTAACAAACAAGGAACAATTTCCTCCTGTGTCCACAAAAGCTGCACTAATTCTCCAGTTTTCTCTCTTGAAATGAAATGATCAATAAAGAGGATCTTGTCCAACACATCCATCCACACTGGACAGTCCAAGACACCAAGTTGACCAAAGTACATGCCCCTAAATTTAGCCAAAAAGACCATAGAATGTTGTAATAGGGAGACTAAAAACACATCTTATCTCACATGTCACCTAACCTACCACCATCTCAATGTATTCAATCAGTACAATCTATGAAATGCATTTGAATACTGGCCTGACATTTAAGTATTAGCCTTCCAACTAGAACTAAAATTGGATGATCAATTATCAAGATAAAATATTTCATGGTCAGCCAAAGCAAGAACAGCATGGATAAGGTATCAGAATTCAGACACTTGAATTTGCACCAAAGTTGAAGTTTCAAACATGGGCATGGCACTCATTCTATAGCAGCCAGATAACAGAGGTAGTGTTCTGTCAAAAATACTAATGGGATATGCTCCACTGAAGGTTTGGCCAACTAATGCAAACAAATGTATCAATGAGCCATCAGCTTGAAGGGTTCTTCAAGGATGTTGGCCAATTTACTTTCTCATACCAAAATTGTGGGGAATTTGAAAGGAGAAGAATAGAAGAATGTTTGACAATAAATTTAGGCTGTTGCATAGGATATGTAAGTAGGGACATCAGCTCACTGATCATGAACAGGATGCTAGCACAAAAAGGATATGAGCAATGTGGATTTTGTTTCCAAGTGGGAAGAGCCAGTGAGGCAACAGCAGCATGTTCAGTTCATTCCATTTGTATATTGTTTTTTCGTGTCTTCAGTGATACAGAAAAGGTTATCTTATCCTCCCCCTTTGACACATAATCATCATATGTATAATTAATAAAATCGTGTTGTTATCCATAAAAACAGATTGCTTAAATCATAACCTCAGCAAATGAATATAATGTGTAGCATAATGCTACTCCAACTTCTGATCAACAATATTGAAGAAAAACAATATAAAGAGAATAAAACACCATACATGTCTGATAATATCAGCCAGTGGCACAATTCTGTAGGTGATACCATTTCCAGGTGTGGCAACAATGCATCAGCCACAGCACGCTTAAGGGGAAACAACAGGTATCTTGAAGCAGCATCAAACATTTCCTCTGCCTGCTCAATAATTAGTGCAATCGAATACCAAATTACCAATTATCAAGTGTGTGTGTGTGTGTGTGTGTGTGTGTGAGAGAGAGAGAGAGAGAGATTGCTTCAAACTGTATGGTAAATACCTGATTTGGATCTATATCCTTCAAACCATCAGTATACCTGCATCAAAAGTTTCAGAAGAAAGTCAAGGTGAAACTACTCTGAGGATAATAGCATGATAGCATGCCGTTGGCCTCAATCAATTAAAAAGACGAGATTGAGCTGCATATGCCCTAACCATTTATGGGTTGGATCATTTCTGGGCCCATTGATGGGTATCCAAGAAATAAACAAGGGTATTAATTAACCTATTAAAGGTAAGCAGCAGCTCTGTTGATATTTTGATTAAACAAGGGCATTAATTAACCCATATCAAAAGCTCAAGTCTGCATTATTGACTAGGTACTTTCATTTGGGCAACACATCCAGCATTAAGCTATCTCATGCCCAGAGCCTTACTACCAGTACATGTTATAGAGATGAATTATGCTTGGAGCCAACCTTTCTCTTTAACCACCTAAATCTGGACCGAACCCATTGACACCCTTCATTCTAGCACATAAGACACCACATGAAATAATCTAAAACTGAACCATTATTGATCCCATATTCCCATAACATAATGCTGACCAGACAAAAACGTTTCTTTTTCCTATCAACAGGGTCAGAATGCCTTGGAAAGTATAGAATAAACTATAAGCATGAGATCATTTGTAATTAGCTAATGAGTTTGTTGATGTTTTCTGTTTTAATTTTAAGGAGCCTAATTTGGGCAAAGAAACCACTATTAGTATTGATAAAAGTCAAAACATGGTGGTAGTTTTGTCCTTTAAGATATATACTTTCTGACCAGTGATTGGGGTTGTGCCCAAACCCAAATCATTCACCAATTTTAATGATCCTATTTAGGTTCTTACTTACATGTACTCTATCATCTTCTCAAAAGTCTCTGTGCTTAAATCATGTTCTTCAAGAAAAGGAAGAGCATAACCAGGTGATCCATCTTTCCCTTCAAGAAAATCTGTCATACGAGATAACCTTGCTTTGAAGTATTCCGAACGTGATGCCAATATCACCTGATGACAGCGAAAAATCCTTTTGCCAACTCTTATGCAAACATCTGCAAGATCATCTCCATAACAACTCATCGAAATATTCCCAATAGAAGATACCAATCCATCAGTTGCATTTTCTAAGACTTCTTCCTTACTGGACTTTGCAAGAGAATTTTGAAGAATTCGGTACAAGGCAGCAGGAAGCCGATCTTGCTCTGGAAGGGACAACCCCTGCAAAATAAACCGCTTCTGCGAGTTATCTATATCTTGCAATGACTTATACTCAGCATACTTTTGGTGAATCAGTTCCTTCTCAAGAACCCTCTGTAACCCTTCACACTTGCAGACTTTGCAAATTCTTACAAGATCTTCCATGTCATCCACTGCAATCTCAAGTCTGTCAGAATAGAAGAAATGGATGATGCTGTAAAGGGCAGGATAAGACAACTTCTCTCTTGAGAACCTTACTTCCCTGCGACCTTTCCAATCGGTCTCAAATTTCCTTTTAAAGAAAGTTGAACGAGCACTTAAAATTATTCTGTGAGCTTCAATGGGCTTGCCTTGCACAAAAAACACTACATCTGGGAGAAAGTTGTAGGAATTGGATGCATCATTGAATGAAGATCCTGTCAATTACTCATACAGTATGTCAGCTCAATACCTAGATTAGTCTCAAATGGAATATTATCAACTATATGGCATGACAGTATTAAGTTCAAGGAATTATATCAAATAGCAAAATGGAAATAAATTGAATGACAAAAAAAATGTTGCATCATACTTCACAGAATCAAGTTCTACCAAATCCACTTAATGGATTTATGCTGCTAAAATAAGGATTTACACTAAAAAAAATACAGCACACCTTTATAGTGACCTAGTACATCCCTAACTCAAATTACATTCTATATCATCAACTAGTTCCAGAAGTAATACAGTATTCTAAAAACAAGAGCAGCCAAATATTTGCAACATGGAAAAAGTGAGAAGCCCATGCAACAAAGCATTAAGATTTAGCAGACTTCAGAAGGGATTAACAGATTTTCCTACACAGGAAAGATGCCCTATAATGTATTTAGGCTTTTAAAATAGCAAGCAAGGTTCCAATTAGGTTCTGTATTATTTGGATTTTGATTGGTCCATAGAGTTGCATGTTCATAAAGAGATTTAACTTTGATTTATAGTTTATTATTTAGATAGAAGTTGCAAGTTCTTTATTTTTAGGGGAGTTAAAATTTTGTTTCATTTGGCTTGTTTTGGTCTGAGTTTTTTTTTTTTTTTGTGAAGAAAAAATAAATGCCATAGGTTAGGTTCCAATCCACCCCTCCCAAAACCCCACATAGCTAGGACCAACATTGGGTAATGGCCTTTTTTCTTTGATTTGGAATTTCTTTTACTAGTATGAGTTTTGTCTACAATACAGAGGAAATAGGATGATGCAAACAATCTATTGCCTTTACTATTAGTAGTAAATTTAACTGTTCTCTGGAACAATATAAGGGATACCGGGGGGAGCTCTGTTATCATTTTTGATCAGCAACTTAAAGAGATTTATTAGAATTGAAAAGAGAATGCACAACAAGAAGTTGTTAGAGATAACACCCAATACAGCAGAGAGCCCCACTTCCCAAAACATTGAGCCCAAAACAAATGATGTCTATTCACACCCTGTTTAGCTAAGCCATCTGCCAAACCATTACCAGACCTCGAGGATATATATATAGATATATATATATATAAGAGAGAGAAATTCCCTGAGAAAAAAGGCAAGAAAAAAGATAAAGCATGAATGTCATCTTTTTTGAAAGAAAAGATAACAGATTTCATTAAGATCAAAAAAAAGGGAGGGAAGAGATGTACATGAGAAGATAAAGCATGAATGTCATTGTTGAATTGATAATGTACAGGGAACCCACCCAAATCTCTCGGCAAAGTGGTCTTCCTTCTAGCAACTCCATCAATGTTACATCATGCATTAGTACATGAACCAGGGTAACAATTTTAACATAATTCCCTAATATCAACCTCTAAAAAATTAGCCAAAATACAAGGCTGAGCTTAATGCATTTCTAATTCGCAAAATTATTCTTTCTTTCTAGGTAATTTACCGAGTTTGAAGCTAATATTGGAAGTACAGACATGTGAAAGTGTGCTCAAGACAAGAATTGCAACTTCAATCACCAATTTATCCACCAAAAAGAGTTATTTAAGGATGTTTCCTTGAACCCTGTATTACCCAAGTGTTTGGTCTTGAGTTTCAATCAATCTACTATTCTATAACCTGGTTAGTTGTTGTCTTACAATTAGTTCTTCTCATCCTTCAATAAATGAGGCATGCAAGGCATGGTTCTGAAATAAAATATTAGTGACAACTAGGAAAAGCATCAATGTATATTTTAGTTTTTACAGTTTGTGGGGCGCACACGGCACCTCCCCCGGCATGCTGCTTTTTTTTTTTTTTTGAAGATTTAACCTCGAGTGGGAATGTGGGATGTTATTTGAACGAGTAATTTACTATGTCATACACGGTAGCATGATTTTTAGAGTTTAAACCGTTTAGCCTATGTGGGGCTTGAACTTAAAGGTTACAGCCGTCGTATTAATTAATAACGTCAATAGTACGAATCTCCAGCCAATTGAATTAACAGGATTTATTTCTTTCAGAATTTATAGTTGCATATTGTTATATATTAAATTCTTCAATGTTTTTCAATGGAGGCGTTTCACTTCGTTTAGGAGCAGCTTCGCCTTGCATTTCACGCAGTCGAGATCTGGTGATTCCTTGAGTTTTAGTTGCGTTTCTTGCTTCCAAACACTGGTTTTTTCTCGGTTCACCTTAAAATCTTTTATTGCCTTCTTTCTTTGGGCAAAACCGAAAGGGCGGAGGTTTTGAATCTTAAAAGAGAATTTTCTTTTCAGACTAGCATGTCTACCAAGATTACTTTCAGTTATACCTATTATTCGCTCAGCATAAAGTATAAACGGCGCAAAAACATATTGAAAGACCTAAAGCTAAAGTCCATAAAAAAAAGGAAAAGAAAATAAAAGAAATTGAAAAAACTGGACCTGGGCAATTGGTAGGACTCCCCGACTGTTCGAGATAAAGACGGTTAGCTCTGCAGCCCAAGAAGGTCTCTCTCAAGGCAGCCTGCAAAGGTCCCAAAGGCGGCGGCCGAGCTTCAAAAGCCTTGAGAAGCTTCCGCACTTTGAGATTCAATGCAGCGTAATGACATCGATCGCCGTCAAAGGTGTGCTCGGAACAGATTGCTCCACTCTCGAGAAGCATCCTAGCTGCATCAAGGTGGCCCGCCAAACAGGCGTAATATAAGGCAACAGAATCCCATTGGTCTCTGGCATTTACGTTGACCCCGGATTCAATAAGGTACCGGAGCCTCTCAACATCTCCAGCCCTCGAAGCTTCGAAGACATCACCGGCAGGAACCTTCTTGAGTGGAACTGAGGCTTTGAAGTCTTCAGGGCTGAGATCAATACCATCGAGATCGGAATCGATTGTCCACGACTGTCTCTTGGACATTGTTCAGAACTTCCTAGTTCGTGGTTTAGGGTTTCGAGTAACTTGGTTTCGTAAGAATTGGAGTCAAAATTCATGATTTCGAGCTCTGGGGCTTCAGCTTTTGCCGTCTACGAAGCTGAGGGATTGAATTGAAGTAATTGAGCATTTCTTCTTCCGGTTCTTTGCTTGAACAGTTGGGAGGAGTGACGGATAAGACGAAAAACTGAAGTCTGAAGTCTGAACAGTGAAGAGGCAGCCAGGCGGGAATATCTGGCGGGTGGTAAGGGGTTTCAAGGTAAGGCGGTATGTACTGAGATGACACTTAAAACATACCGTTGGGGAATACTAACATGCTATACAAATACTTATTATACGGTATTAGCGGTGACCCGTGCGATGCACGAAAAATCTGAAAGGTTTAATAATTTTATTTAACTATTAATTAATAATCAAATTTCGTTGTTAATTAATTAAAAGTATTCAAAGTTATTGTTAATATCTAAAATTTTAATATATGTATTTTCATTTAATGTTGATTTATAAAAAAAATTATTGTTAATTTAATATGAATTAATATTTTTTAATAAATTTAGTTTTATTAATAATTTATATTCCTAGTATTGGGTGGGGTTCAAGTAAAGGTGTAAATCGGGTCGTACTAGGCCGAGCCTTAGGCCAAGCCAGGCCGCGGACTGGGCCAAGTTATGAGAGGTCAATTTAAAAAAAAATGAAAAAGATGTTTAAATTTTTATTTCATATGATTTTTTATGTATACAGTTGTTTATATATACAATTAGACCTATTCATAGGCTAGGTAGCCTGACAACCTACCTCGGCTTGACTCGTTATTTTTTAGGCTTGGACAAAATTTTAGGCTCGTGGGCTCAAGCTCAGGCTTTCCCGAATAAGTCCGGCTCGATACTATTACATATATAAAAAAGTACTTATCTTATATATAATAAAGAATATATATACATATATATATGCATCTTAAATTATTGATAAATATCAATTTACTATTAGGAAATATAAATTAGTTTATTAATTTATTAAATTAATATAATATTAGTTTATAAAAATATACTAAAAATAAGACATTTTGTGTATAGATTGGACTTCAAGCTCAAGCTCGAGCTTTGAGCTTTATATAAGGGCTAGGCTCGGGCTCAAGATTTAGGCCCAACGGTCAAGATCGGCTTCTATCAAGGCAAAGCTATGACCACACCGTTCTAACAGTCATTTTCACCCTTGCATTGGGAATATCTCCTCATAAAATAAAGCATACAAGCATGGAGATAGTCTCAATGCAAGGCAGTAAAGGGTGCTCGAACCGGCTTTGTCCTGACTAAAGCTGAACTCCCGATTGTCAAGTCGGGCTCAGGCTTGGGCTTGCATATTTTCTATTGATAAAGAGACCTGTGTTTAATTATAAAACTATGATTTTTTACAAATTAAAATTTTTATTTAATTATATATTGTTTGATATAAAAAAATATATAACATTTCTATATATATTAATATAAATTTTGTTATTTAAATATATGCATACAATTTCTAAGTTTAGCTTATTAGGGATTATTTAGCTTAGGCCCTATCCGCTAAAGCCTTCATTGGACTCCAAGAGTTTGATACCCAATTAGACTTCGAATCTAATTATCCCTTGTAATGTGTGAGCATGGTGCATATCTCAGCTAGACCTACTCAAAAGAAAATAGTTGCTTGAACCTGCAAATTTATAGATCTAATTGGGCTAGGTTAAGTTATAAACGATTTGTTACTTTTTATTATTAATTATTACAATATTGTTAGCTATTAAAATATTGTAATTATTAAATTACTATATTTATTTAAAATACAATAATTTTTGGAAATTATCATGTTTTTAGAAATATTGATAATTTCTTGGCTAAAACTAATTAAATGTAATTTTCTAGTAATTAAATATAACTAATTGTAGCTTAAATTATAATTACTGTTAATTATAATTTAAAAATAATTAATGTTAACTATATTACTATTAATAATTAAAATACATTATTTTTTCATTATTATTCATTATTTTTTGCAATAAAATACAAGTAATTTATTTTTTAATTATTTTTAGTATTTTAACTAAACTTTAGGCTTTTCAAAATTCTCAGATTTTTAATTAATAATTGGTGCTTTTTTATTATTAGTTAGTAATTCTTGCATATGAGTATTTTCAATAATTTTCAGTATTTTCATCATTTATTTTAGCATATTAGTCATTACAAAATTAATTTGCATTTGCTTTCAGTAAAAATAAATTTAATAACTAAATAAATACCATAGTTAATAAAAATACAACTAATTTTCAATATTTTTCAATAATTTATGGCTCGGGTATTTTTTAATAATAAAATACTATTAATTGTACTTTTTTATTATTTTCAATAAATATTAGGTTTTTTAGAATTTTTTTGGATTTTTAATTAATTGTTGGTAATTTAAAGCAATCAATTAATATTTTTTATTAACATTTATTAAGATCTCAACTCATAAGTTATTTGAGAATATTATTAAAACTATCAATTAATATTTTTATATTTAAATTTCTTATTTTTATTAGTGTTTATTAAGTTGGATTTTTAAGTGCAATTGAAACACATTTTTAATATTTACTAAGTTTTGTAAATATTTACTTTTGGTGAAAATTTAGTGGATTTTTAAATTAATAAGTTTTTGATTGTTTAACCTCAACCTACTTATATTATTTGATTTATATCATGGTTCTGTTTTACCCCATAACTATTATTTCGCCAAAAACTATTGATTTTGCCAGTAAACCCCTGACCTAGGCGGTCAAACTGTTTGAACCGTCCAAGGGTTTTGGCCGTTTTTTTTTATTTTTTGATAGAACAAGTCGTCCATTTAGTTCGAGCCGGGAACCAGACCTCTAGCCGGTTCGTTGTCCAGTTCAATTTTAAAAGCCTTGATATATACTATTACTACTCTCTCTCTCAAATGTAATAATGACATGCATTAAAATAAGAAACCTTGGAAAACCCAAAGGTCCCCCTCTCTCTCTCTCTCACTCAATTGTTGTTTTTAAATGTAATAATAACATGCATTAAAATAAGAGGCATTGAAAAACCTAAAGGTCTCTCTCTAATAGTGTGCATCTTTATTAATCTAATCAATCAAGATAAGTAATGATTATTGTTTTATATTTTTAAAATAAAAAAAATAAGAAAAAATGTGAAAAGATGAAGAAAATAGATAAATAGCTTCTCTCAAAGGAGAGACATGCTAACATGGACTGACCAATTTTAATATATATATATATATATATATAGAGAGAGAGAGAGAGAGAGAGAGAGAGAGAGAGAAGATACTTGTTGGGACTAGTAAATATGCATGCATGTACTTTGAATATATTAATATAACTAATAATTTTAAATATATTAATATAACATTAATATAACAATAAAAATAAAGTATTTTTATTTTATTTTTATTTAATAAGATAAATGTATAATTAGAGATGTGCTAAAATTTTATAAACAAACTTTTTTGTTTTCTATATTTTTATTTCTATTTATTTTTTGAATTTTATTATATAATTATGACACCATGTGCTGGCCTATTTGACTTGAAAAATAAAATAATCTCACTTTTGGGCAACTTCAATTTTTTTATTCTGTTTGCATAATTAATTCTAAAAATAATTATTGTTTATCAAACTTATTTTTGTTTCATATGATAAGTTGATAATATCATAGATATCTCAAATTTGTATATAAAATTTATGTATTTTTAAATGTTTTATATTTCTATCTATTTTTAAAATTTTTATTATTCAATTATGATATCATTGGTTAACTTGCTTACCAAACGATTAGTATGGTGCAAGTAAACTTGTTCATAAGCCAAGTAGCCCAACGGGCCAAGCTAGACCAGCCCGTTCTAAGTCGGGCTTTGACATTATTTAAGGCCCACAGGCTCAGGTTTGAGCCTAAAACACTGGTCCTAACCCTTTTTCAGGCTAGGCTCGGACTTTTCCTAAAAAAAGTATGGCCCAAGCTCGAGCCCAACTTGATAATATATGTTATGTAAAAAAATATATATTTTAATAAAAATCTATATACAATATTTTTATTTGTTTATCTTCTATTTTTTCAAATAATAGTGATATCTTTTATTATTTTTGAGTTTTAGGGGCTTTTAATATTCATAAAATATTTTTATTGAATAAAAAAGAAAAAAAAAATCTATTTTCAATTTTTTGGTTGGAACCAAGCTCGAGCCTAAATGTATTCTATTGATACATAGACAAAGCCCGGCCCGACCCGACCCGTGAATAGGTAGGTCTAGGTGCAAGTCAAGTAGGTTCAATTAAATTTAAGCATAACCTTGGGCTAACACTATGCATTGGATCTAAGGCTTTAGACCAAAGTAAAGCCTAATCTATTCAACTTGGGCCTAACCTCTAACTTACATTGAAATTTGGTACCTTGGCTTAGTCTTGGACTTGGGTCTATCTCTATCAAATAGCACCATGATAAAATTTGTCATAAAATGTATATATATATAAATATGTGATATATGTGAATTTACTATTGTATGTGTATAATAAAGCTTGACTTTAGCTACCTAAGGGATATGCTTAGGCCCAACAAAAATTAAATAAAAAAGCCCAAACTTTTGAACATAGGCCTAGGCTCCAATCAATGACAGAAAATTGAAGCTAGCCTAACTAAAATTATGAGATAGGTTGATTCGAGTTTGAATTAAAGCCCACCCAATTTGCCTCCCTATGGACCATTAACCATTAATTAAATGCAAAAAAAAAATACTTTTTTAAGTTAGTTTAGTTTTAAATTCTATAGCTGCCATTAATAGAAATAATTGTTATCTATCACACTTATTTTTGTTTAATATGATGAATAAATAATATTAAAGATGTACGCAAATGTTTTTTACAAAATTTCTCTGTTTTTAATAATGTTTGTGTCTCTACCTTTTTTAAATTTTTATTATGATATCATGGGTGAATCCATTTTACCTAAATGGTTGAACCATTGACTCACCTCTTGAATAGTAAAATTGTTTAGTTTTTCGGTTAGTTTTAAATCTTGTATTTCATCTCTATCTAATAAAAATACTTTTATGTAGCATGCTTAAAGTTGTTTGATTTGATAAATAGATAACATTAGAGACATGCCTAATTTTTTTTACATTTTTGTATTTATTTTTTGTAATATTTGTATTTTTATTTATTTTTAAATGTTTATTATTTAACTATGAGAACATTGGTTGATCCATTTTGATGTCAAAAGTTAAAC